TGAGTCCCCATCCCTGGAAGTATTTAAAAGATGTGTAGATGAGGCGCTTAGGGGCATGGTTTAGTGGGCATGGTGGTGTTGGGTTGATGGTTGGACTCGATGATCTTAGAGGTCTTTTCCAACGTTAATGATTCTATGATTCTATGACCTCGGTCATGTTGTTTCTAGGTGCATTCCTAGTTGCTTGAAAACAAGTCATATGCTGAGACCATTGGTCCTTACTGCACAACCCAGGTGTGTCAAGAGTGTTCTCCACATTTCTCATCAGGTTGGAGAGACTCTTCACTCTCCCAAAAAAAGAAATGGTGGCTTTTTACAGCATTTGGTTTGGCTTAGCTACAGTTGGCTAGGCACCTTGCTGGAACTTCCAGGTGAAATCCTCTCATCTGTGTCACGTACAGAGCAGATGAGAAAGTCGTAATGGTCCTTTGGCCCCAGAGTCCTGTGGAAAAGCTTCCAAGCTCTTGTCTTCAGGGGTGGAATATATCACTATTTCCTCTTCTGTTTCAAGGAGAGGAAGGGTGATGGGAATGGGAAGAGCTTCAGTTTAGTTTAAGCTTATCTAGGTTTCTCAATTTTGTATCTAAACGCAGATGAGATTTCCATTTTATCACTCAGAATGTGAATTCATTTCAATTGGACTGGGGTGAACCAAAGTTTAGCCATTTCACAGTTAGGCCAGATTAATTCAAATACCACAAAGCTATGCATTCAATGGATATGGGAAGATGAACCATGAAACACTATTAGCTTTCTGGGTTTCTGGAATAAATATACCTGCACTTGAACTTACTATTCCCAAATGAAACTAGTCAGGAAACTGGTTGCCTCCACAAAGAACCAAAGAAAGTCTGTCACTTGAAGAAACTTGCCCTAGTGCTTTGGAGTACACACAATGTGTCCAGCCATATTATGTCTTTTTTGTCAGATGAAGACCTTGGTAGTGAAAGTACAGAAGAACCGAAACATGCCATGAAAAGCAAGAAGCAGAAAACAGACATCCCCTTAGAGCCGGTCTGGCATTCAGACCTACCAATCTCTGAAGCTGTAGGAGGTTCGATAGCTACCAACTTTGGCTCAACTCTTAGGAAGACGCCTTCTCCTGTGCTGGCATTGAGTGCGAAGCCATAAGGTCTTACCAGTAGCGTCAACTGGTAGACTCCGACTGGCAGCGTCTCCATCTGGCAAACCACTTTGGTTTGATTCAACATTATGACATGGCACGTTGTGTTGTTCACCTCCACCTGCAGGGCTGGCTTCTCCTCAGTGAAGCCAGCTCCCCTGATAACTACTGTGGCCTGGGACCCATCATCTGAAGGAATATAATCAACAAGATTACTCATGAATTTGAGTAGCAATGCCCAGGATTTACTTTCAACCAACAGTTAAAAATTTTTACCGACTTTATCAGAACATCCTAAAAACTACACCACTGATGATCTCTCATTTTCCCCCATAATGCCTATTCCTGCCTGTTCCTGTCCAGCTATTACTTTTTTCCTTAATTTTTTATTAACAATAACTTGAGCCAAGAGCCACCTTTCACTTTAAGCACCAAGCCTACCACAGTTTCTCTCCCCTTTATGTCTCTACCATCTTCATGTTGCTGTAAAAACTTCTGTGCTACATACTTTAAGACTGGAGCTGATCAGAAGTGCGCCACTAGAAAGTGGAGTTTCCATAAAATCAGACATTTCCAAAAGAATACACACACACACACACCCCCAAATCATCAGCATCTGACACATCTTTGTAACTAAACAGTGTTTTTGCCATTTTGTTCAGACACAAAGCCCCATTACCTGACGAATACTCCACGTCACTGACTAAGGGTGTCAATTCCTGGCTGAACTGGAAAGAGCACGAACCAGAACAGTTTGCAGGGACATCATTCACCACCACCACCAGCTGGAGACAGAGAAAAAGGTTATCTTAAAGCTGGGAAGGGAACAGAGGTGTTTCCCAGAGCCACATCTACCCGGTAGACCTGCAGAGCGGTGCTGGTAGCCACACTGAGCTACCGAGAGCACTCTGACTGTGCCAGCACAGAGCACCGTCAGACAGCAGTTTATACTGCTGCAGTCTCATTACAAATTTAATTGCAAGGCTTGCTAGGGCTCAATCTTAGGCAAAGGTGAGCACAGCTTTGGAAGCTGTATCGCCAGCCTTTCTTGGTGTCTGCAGGATCCTGTCTCCCATCTTGCTGGGACCCACAGCTCCTCCCAGCTCCTGTTCTTCTCGTCACCCATTGAAGACCCTGCTTGCCATACTCCACTTCTTCCCACCCCACCTTGAGAACAAGTTTATTATGTTTAAAGCACCCTGTAAGACTAATTAGAATGAATCCCAGAATGTTTCTTGTCAGCATGCAGCCCTCAATTTTATTTTCTTTTTCCCTTGTTATTCATGCTGAAACAAGAAAGCTGGGCTGTCACCTTGATTATTTAACAAGAGATATCAAGAGATATCTCTTCTGAGATCTTGATATCTCAGAAGAGTCAACTGGCAAAGCATAGGGCATAGGAGACCCCCTCTTCATCTCTTTCACAGGTATTAAGGGTGTGCCAGGAGAGTACACCAACGCCTGCAAAAAGCAAAAGCAGACTGTCTCCAAGAAACACAAGGAGCACAGGGTTGCAAAGTACTCTGCTTGAATAGAGACACAATAATTGGAGGGACATTTTTACACTTGTTGCTAGCAGAAGTCAGAATAAACCTTCAAAAACAAAGAGGAAATCTGATTGCTGCTGCTGTTCCTGTTTCATTTGGTCTATTCGAGGGTATGTCTGCACCACAGATGGCAGAGATATCATAGGTGGTTGAGCCACTGGGAGCAGGGCAGTCCTCATGTCTGGGGAACAGGCTCACCAAAAAAGCAGCATGACCTAGCCCCAAATGCACCCCAAAGCACAGCTGGGCTTTGAGCACATCCAGCATCACCCTATTATTGCTACAGTGCCCAGCAGTCTTTGCTGGAAGAAAAGCCAGCAATGTGCACCGCTCTGCAACATCTGAGAGCAGAGTTTGCAACACGTTTGTCCATCCAGCAGACTCATTCAGCCAGGAAGCCCTCCTTGCTCCCTTTTCACACATGAAGAATTGAGATCCACAGAGGCTGAGGGACTTGCCTAATTCACAGACTAGTACCACAGCCACCATCTCATTTATTTTGCCTATCAGTATAACAGCTGGAACACTGCAGATGAATGGTGTCATTCCCAAGTTTGGTGACCAGCACCGTAGGACCCAGCAAGGGTGGCAGTCCAGAGACGTCAGCCCTTGGCCACTGCCTCAAAAGAAATAAATTGTCTTCCATCACCCATGATGACCATTCTCCCCACCTGCAATAGCTCTTGGAGGAAAAGTCCTGCTGCACAAACCAGGGAGATGAATCTGACTGATTTATGGCAAAGCATAGAACAGTAGATTTCTGAAAGGATTTAGTGGCAGAAGTAGGTACCTGAATACCTGTGAGACTCCTGGATCTACACGACCCAGGTGAATCAATAGGAAGTGTGACAACACATGAACTCACCTGTGTTTTGTTATTGAAGGTAGCAAGCATGTCCCCAAATATTGGCCCAAGAAACACACCCCCATCATAAACCACACGACTAGAAACAGTTGGCTTCAGACCAGTGAGGTTTTCAGCAGAGACCTGGCAAAGAACAAAGAATTTAAATTTCTCACCCTTTTCCATCCTGTGATTTTAAATTAAAACCGTTCCCCCAGAGTTCATACAGAGTCATTACAAGGCAGCAAATAACTCCTAGAAACCTATTCTCAAGCTTTTCCCATAACTCCTATCTCCAGGTCTAAATCTTCATCATCCAAGACTTCACAACACCTCCCTGTTTCCATCCTCACATTGCAGGCAAGAAACTGAGGCAAACAGATTCAGGAACCAACTTTGCAAATGAACTTCCAATACTCAGTGATATCATTTGGAATTAGGCATGGAAGTAGCTTTGAACATCTGCTTCTCAAAGACATGACTTTGGGTGAAAAAAGGACCTGTGCTACAGCTGAAGATGCAGCTTAAGATTTTTTCACCATCCAGGCTTTGAGTATGAGAATTCATTGCTTTGTCAAAGATAATTTTACAGTTTTAGAAGCTGATATACAAAGAAATACTTTTTCAGGAAGGAAGCAGCTCAGTCTTCTACTTGAAGCAAAACTTAAACGATAAATCTTGTGATGGGAGAGTGTGAACTGAACCTTCATCTGAGACTTATGAGAACCAGATATGAACCCATAAAGAATAGTTCTCAGAAAAAGACCTTCTTGGCCCATAAATGATGCCACAAACCTGTACTGAGCTCCGGTTGCTGTACTGAAATATTATTGTGATTATAACAGATTTCATTTCAGTATAGCAGTCCCTTTATTTTGCAGAGCTGCAACAAAGCACAGAAATTACATTCTAGCCTCCTCATTTTGAAGCACAGGCTCTGAAGATGTAATTTCTCCCCCCGTAACTGCAATTGTTTTTTTAATCATCTAATCTGGAATTTGCTTAAGCTGCTGTTCCTAATAGGAGGATAGATTGCCTAAGGTCCCATGGGTGTTTTCATAAAAACAAACATTAGGAGAGTGACTCAGCCAAGGCCAAAGGCATTGAATGGGGTTCAAAGTGGGTGTTAGTAAAAGAAATTACTTACACTGATAACATTGGGCAAGTCCCCAGTTTTTGTTTTCCAAGTCAACGTCCAGATGCTTTCATAGCAAGAGTTTGAGTCTTTGGTCACAATGAAGTCACTGGTGTTGAAGTACGGGGCTGTAGAATTATCTGTGTTTTCTTGCAAAAGCTTGCGGAGATGGTGGGAGGAGATGTGCACTGAAACATCTGCAAAAGACATTAGAAAGCAGTGGATTTCCTCATCCCTAGGAAAGCATATCTACCTGCTCCTAGAAAAGAAAGCTGTTTCATTATTAGTGCAAGGCTGTTGTGGTTCAAACCTCTGCAACTGCCAAAAAGCAGCAGTGGGAAATTTACTGGATCCCAAATGCCAAAAGATCTGCACTACTTAATAGCTAAGAAAACCTAGAAACTTCTTTCCAGTTGGGACCATCAGAAATTTTGTCTAAGTAATACTTTTAGTATTACTAAGTCATGTTCCTTCAAAATAGAAAAATTGGAAAGTTCCTAGGTGGGGGTGGGGGGGAAGTCAGTCTATGAAGAAGACTTTGTAGAGTCCAATCCCAAATAAATGCAAATGATGTCCTATTTCTTTTGATATAAATACCCATAGCCAAAGCTGCAGGTACAATACATCTCCCTAAACCAATTCATAAGAAAGAGGGGAAAGCACAACACCTGGGAACAGGGCAAGAGTAACGGAGTATGTTTTTAAAAGATTGTATTCAAAGCAGGGCACTACTGAGACAGCCTTCAGCTGTTGCAGGAAAATCCTAAATGACAACATGGAGGAAAGAGTTATTTCATGAATATTCTAAGGTTACATTTTCCTGTTTTATGATTTGACTTTATAACTGAATCACCAGTTCCTCAGTTAAGAAATTTATCATTGGCCTTGCTCATATTAACCTGCTCACTTTCATTCTAAGCCTCTTTGAATATTTAAACCAAACACAAGAAAACCTAGCACATCTAAAGGGTGACCAAGTCAAGCAATTCTATGCACAAAAGCTTTGTGGTATCTGCAAACCAGTTACCAATCCTGGTAATCCTAGAAGAGAATGAATTTCCTGGTAACCTGCATGGGTCTTGTCATACAAGACGACCAGAAGTACACATGCTGGAGAAATATCAGTGTAATGAAACCTTGGGATGCAAAATCCCAATTCAGGATCTGATCCAAAGTTCTTTAACATTAAGGCAAATATTTCATAGTGGCTGTACGCATTTGTCCTGGTTTCGGCAGGGATAGAGTTAATTTCCTTCCTAGTAGCTGGCACAGGGCTGTGTTTTGGATTTAGGATGGGAACAAAATTGATAAGGCACCGATGTTTTAGTTGCTGCTAGGTAATGCTTACACTAGCCAAGGACTTTTTAGTTTTCCATGCTCTACCGACTGAGCAGGCTGGAGGTGCACAAGAAGCTGGGAGGGGGCACAGCCCAACTGGCCAAAGAAACATTCCATACCATGTGACGTCATGCTCAGTACATAAACTGGGGGAAGCTGGCCAGGGGGGGCCGCTGCTCAGGGACTGGCTGGGCATCGGTCGGCGGGTGGTGAGCAATTGTACTGTGCATCACTTGCTTTGTGTATTATTATTATTATCATATTATTATTATTATTATTATCATTTTATTTCAATTATTAAACTGTTTTTATCTCAACCCACGAGTTTTTCTCACTTGTGCTTTTCCAATTCTCTCCCCCATCCCACCAGGTGGGGGGAAGTGAGCGAGCGGCTGCGTGGTGCTTAGTTGCCAACTGAGGTTAAACGGTGGAAGCATTTTGGAACAATCCCATACCTAACATCTAGAAATACTGCCTTGCCTATAATCCTTAACTTCTGTCTTGAAGGACATCAAATGAAAAGACCTAGCAACTATTGCAACGGGTTTAACCTGCCAGCCTGTACCCTGAGCATTTCAAAGGTTCAGTATTGTCTCTTCTGCAGTTGGCTTCCTGCAAAGAAGGTCCAGGACCTGTACTTGCACCTTCTCTTACCTGATATCACTGTATTGGCCAAGTGGATGCGGAAGGTCCCTCCAATAGGTGGAGATGACTTCTGCAGTCTCTGAATGGTGAGGCTGACTCTCACATCCTCCGTGGAGACATAGAGGTGGCCATACTCCTTAGAGCCTTCCCCAAGCAACGCACCTCTGTGTGACAGAGAGGGTTCACATGAAGGCATTAGCAGTCAAGGCCCCCACTCCTCACACTCCCATGGCACCAGCAGCAGAGGGACGCCTATGGGAACAACGCTCTTGAAGGACCTCAGGAGAACATGTTCAGAGCTCAAACAGAATTGAATACCCCCAGCTTATACCTATATAACATAGGCAATGCACACAACAGAAAACGGTGGAAAACCACCTTTTTTAATTACGGTAGAAGAAATAGTTCATACACCACCAAGCACAAGCAAGTCCTGCCCCTCTACTGGTGTTTTTAAAAGACCAATTCAATGCAGCCTGGACAGCAGCTACAACATCAAAGCAAAAAGATTTCCTACTTCATCCTGTAGTCTCCTCGAGTCTATCAAAACCTTAACTCCCCTGAGTTACAGCGATATTTCATATTAGAGTTCACCCAAAGCCCGATTTCTAAAGCTTAAAATATTTTCTCCCTTGCCACTAAAATTCTCCTTTTTCAAAGGAAAAAGAGACTCTTTGTGGTACAACGATGCCACCGTGTGGTTAAGTGTCTGGATAACAGCTAAAGTCTCTCAGACCTCAGCCGTGGCTTCTGCAGAGCAAACTTCGAGAATACAAAACCAAAGGGACCACTGAGCCTGCTCGTCTGATGTACAGCCAGTACATCAGATTTTTAGCTAATATCCCTGTCCCGACCGCAGCAAGTTATATTAGAGCACAGCAGGTGCTCAGTTAAGAGAAAGAGCCAGGTTTGTTTTGAAGATATCCAAAGACAGTGATTGGCCCACCCGTTTTTAAAACATGCACCGATTTCTGTTTTCAGTCTTCCTGGCTTCAGCATCACACACTGGCTTCTCTTATATCTTCCTCTGTGAGATGCAGAAGCCCACCAGTGCTAAGCACTATTTTTTTTTCCTGGTGAAAGGTACTGTGATCAATCCATTTCTTAATCTTTTTATAAGCTAAACAGATTGAGCTTCTCAAATCTTTCTCTCCTAGGCATTTTCTTCATTTCCATAA